CTAATTATCTATTTTTATGATCTGACTTTCTATGAATTCCCTGATGCATGATGTTTTTTACCCATAGTTTTACATCGTTTAACCTACTTATTGCTTGCAGTTACATTGCACTCGAAAAACAACAAACATAGTGTCATTTAACTTACTTTTAAACTGGGAGTTAAAGTATGTGTATGGCTTATATGGATTCGTTCAATATTTTTATTTACTATTGTAAATTGTTGCCAATTTATACTGTAGTTAAAGTGTTAAAACTCTTAATATAAAATGTTTTTGGCGCTGTAATCGTGGATTTAATCGATCAACTAGACGAATAAAAGCCCTTTATCAAAAAAAGAAAAGAAAAAAGCTAGACGAATAACTATGCATGTATGCATGCAACTATCCAAGCGAAAAACTTCACTTATTTAATTTTCCTAATGAAGGAACATCTTGAGCAAATCACTTACTCACGGTCTGACAGACTATAACATTACGGACAAAAAAAAATTGTTTTGGAATATGATGTCGTTTTTCTTAAACAACTTCAGATCCAATTGTTACTAACTTCGAGTAATAATTAGTTAATTAATACTCACTCCATTCCATTTTAGTTGCAAATTTAAATTATGTATATAAACTAAAAATAATATTTATTTACATATATATAATCATAACAAAAATATCATTATCTGTAAATCTAACCATAGTCAACTAATAAAAAAAAAAAATGATATATAAATTTCATAAATTTTAATTTTGCATTGAAATAAACAAAATTTATTTTAAAACAAAAAAATTATCTACAACGACATATAAATCAAAACGGAGGAAATACTATAATACAGAAGTGTCTTATTCTCAACATTTGGTAAAGATAACATTGATATTCGTCAATGGTGGTGTTCAAGAAAATCACAGTCACATACAAAAAAGTTGAAATAGTCATATCCAAGATCACCTTTTTCCAAAGAAGTACTAATAGTTTTTATTTTTGAATAATTGAAATATAATAAGCTAAGAATTAAACTAAATTTGAGAACTATAATCACTATATGGGTTTTATAATGATCAATTTTATAACATCTGTACGATTTTAAATTACCAATCGGACCCAATAATATGATACAAAATATGATTATCAATCCAGGTAATAAATTTTATGAAATCTGAAAGTATATTTTTTGTACCGCCATTTTTTTGTTTTGCTAGATTTGCTTTTTTTTTGTCACTGTTTTTGTTAGATTTGCTTTTAATCACAGTCATGGTCTTAACAAGGTAATAAATCGAACCTGAAAACCCGAACCGAATCCGATCTGATAAAAATAAATCCGAATCAATCTTAACCCGATTTAAATACCGAATGGATCTTGTTTTATGGTATTTCGGGTTATGGATATTATCCGAACCGAACCTGAAATTAAATGGATATCCGATAGAACCCAAAACATTCAAAAATTTTAATAGGAACGTGTACCGAACATGATCTTAATTCCTAATATATATCTAAAATATTTTAAGATATTACTAAACATCTAAATAATTATCTATTACAATAAGGTTGATAGTTGAAGGTGGCGGTTGAAACTTGAAATTTTTAGATTAAGGTTTCGTTATTATTGAATAATGTTTCTCATTTTTTAAGAATTTAGTTTTCGTTTTATGCTTTGATTTATTGGATTTTCTTTGTATTAATAACTATATTTACCTTTCATTTACTTTTACATGATCAAGTTTGATGTTCTTTTCTTATTTTTGAATCAATTTTACTTATGTTTGGCTACAAAATAGTTACACATTAGGTACTTTAAATCTGAAGAACCGATTTTATTTATATTTTGGTTACAAAATAGGTACAAATCAAGTATTTTTAAACCAAAGAATCGATTGGGATGCGAATCCGAAAGTATAACAGGTTGTACCGGTTCTTTAAAGATTTACTAACCCCAATCCGAATTCGATAGAACCCGAACCGATCCCAAACCAAACTTTCAAATAATTCGAATGGGGCTGATTTTCATAAACCCGAAGAACCAAGATCCGATTGGACAAAACCGAATCTCGAATGGGATCCTGAATGAAACCCCGAATGCCCATGTTTAGATTAAAGTACATGTAGCTAAATATTTGTTTAGCTTTTATTATTTCCTCAGCCAAAGGTATGATTAAAGGTGGGATCATCCTTTGCTACTATTTCTTGTTACATATAATTATCCAGATATATTTTTTACCTTTAAAAAGTGTCACCATCTGGTAGTCACTTATGATATGAATTTTGGCTACTCTTGAGTCCCCCATCCCCGGAACTAGATCCTTCATTATCGCCTTCTGTAGGCCCATGTATCTTCAAGTTTATATAAATGAAAAAATAATTGTTATTTAAATCATCAACTTTCAAATTTAGTTGAAGTAAAACATCAATTTTCTCGTAAATAAAAAAATATCCAATTTTTGTTGACAAACCATTTTAATCACAAACTTTCGCCTACTATATCAATTTAGTTATATCGTTAGTTAACAGTTATAGTTGACTAACGGTAGTCATAAAATACTTTTCAAAGTTGATCTTTTTTTATGGCATAAATATAAATCAATATTTTTCTTCAATATTGGATATACTTTAAATATTTTTATAACTGAAGGACTAATAAATAAAATTATAAATAAAAACAAGTCCAATAAAAATATAAATAAAACTCAATGTAAAATAATTAGTTAACATACATTAATTGAGTAACTTAGTTATAAAATGATAAGAATATTTTAATTATTTATGATTAGTTTTTTTAAATATTTATATAATCCTATTTGAATTACGTTTTATAATTTTATTTTCGAAAGTTTGTTGATGAAATATTAATTCAACTCTTGATTCTTAAATGAAAAGATTTATCAGTTAATAAATTCTTCATGGTTCTTTATATTTATAATAATGATCTTCAAACAAATCTATATAATTTCTTCACAATTTTTACAACATGTTTTCTGCATTTAAAGAAAAATAAGTTTCACCAAAATCGATAACTCATTTTGTTTAATAAATAAATAATTGAAAGTAATATTTCACTAACAATTTTTTAAAGTAAAATTATAAAACATAATCTGAGTAGGATTATATAAATAGTTTTTTAAAATTAATCGTAAATAATTAAAAAAAATTCATAATTATTTTTAACTAAAATACTCAATTAAGGATATATTAATTAATTATTTTACATTGAGTTATGTTTATATTTTTGGTTGGAATTTATTTTTTCTTTACAATTTTATTTATTTTAAAAGCCATTTTAGGCCTACCATCTATATTATTAAAAGAGAAGTACCAATAAGAAAAAACCCTTAATTTTATCAATTATTTACAATAGAATGCCATTGATATATCTATTGAACATATATTTAAGTATGCTTGTCTTTTCCTAATTTAAATAATAGATTTAAGTATTTAATATATTTTCATAGTTTAAATAATAGGTTTCCTTAGTCAAATATTAACCAAAATAAATATCCTAATATATTTGGTATTAACATATTAAATATTTTAATATTTATTAGTAAGAGATAATATGTTATTTTTCTTTAAGATATTATAGAATTTATAGTTCTACTTATGTTTATATATTTTAAGTAGTTATAATTTTTTTTTTAAGGGATGATAAGATTTTGGAATTGGAAAAAATTATGACCCACCTCTATATTATTTTAATTAAGAAATTTAAAATTAATATCAGAATATTTTATTAAATTTTTAATTTGAATTATTATAACTATAAAGATTAATTTTTAATCAAACTTTATGTTTAAGTATTATAAATATATCATTTAATATAAACAAAAACATAAAATAAATACCCGCCCGGTCGGGCGGATCAAGGTCTAGTTAATCAAATTATAAATGTTGACTAATAATATCACTAAATTGGTACGGTCGATGAAAGTTTGTGATTAAAATAGTTTGTCAATAAAAGTTAAGTGTTTTTTGACTTGTGAGAAAGTTTGGTATTTTATTTCAATCAAATTTGAAAGTTAGTGATTCAAATGACATTTCCAAATGAAAATATATAGGAGAAGAGAAGACATTAATAAACTCTCTTGTTTCTTTTTCCTTAAATTTACACATTCTTGATGCTTGAGAGTTCTGTAAAGATTGTTTGTCTGAAGCAACAATGGAGGAGAAGAAACTGAATTTAGATTCTCCGTTTCTATCCGTGAGGCGAATCCCAACGAAACTAGAGAACCCAAGCGACTCAGAGAACACAAAGAAGAAGCAGACGACGACCAGGAGGAAAAAAGTCAAAGATTCATGTCAAGAAACTGAGCAGGAAACTCGGGTCCGATTATTACGAGATGACAGGAGCTTCGATCATGTAATAGAACCATCTCTAGTTCCATTTCTGTGGGAACAAACACCTGGAAAACCAAAGGATCATCATGCAATGATCGAAGAATTAGACGTAATCAAAGCTTTGGAGATGGTTTCTTCAACCGCAAGCTTTTCTGTTAATTGTAGTACAAACGGGGTAAGTGATGAGTTGGAGAAGAATGGAGATAGGTCAAGCAATGTATCAAAAGATGACGTCATTCTTGAATATCGTGACCACATCATGGCGAGATTTTTACCAGCCGCGAAAGCAATTGCCTTAAAACAGAAGAAAGGAACTTCTCGAGACCAAGAAGCGAAGATGATGAAGAAGAAGGAAAAGAATCGGATCATTGCTCTACAGAGAGTCTCCATGGCCATCAATCAAGATCTAAACAATGATTATTATGATCATAACCATGTTGATGAAGCAGTCCATGCAAGTGATTCCAAGAAAGCTATGTTTGGGTTCTTGCCAAGCTTCTGTTCCAAGAACTCACTGGATGTTCTTAATCCGATTCTTTCTCGGGTCAAGACTTGTCAGAATCTTGCGGTAAAACCTAGCAAAATCATAAACCCTAAAACTCAAGATTATGTTTATAAAACTAAATCAAAATCATCACCAATAATCTTGAGATCAAACAAGGTTACGAGTAAGCCTCAAGAACTTTATCCGATACCAAGATTTTCAGCAAAGGTTTCAACAAGAAATTCTACAAGGTTGCAAAGAACATCGAGTAATCGGATTAAGAGACAAGATACGAGGGTTATTGCAGAGGGGGTAAAGAGAATGAGGAACAAAAACAAAAACACAGGTCAGAGAATATCTCTGTTTCTCAACCTCCGTTGCCTAAAACTCCTTCAGAGTCGTGGCTTTGCCGGACACTTCCTAGAAGCTTGGCCGTCAGCATCATCGTTCCAGGTCAATTACCCGTTGTTCACTACGGTCAAGAAACAGGTTTGAGGAAGATGGATCAAAAGTCTACAAAATGGGAGACGATTGTTAAAACATCGTATAAACACCATGACAATGTACGCTACTCAGAGGTATGAATGATAATTAAGAAATATTTATTTTTGTATGCATTTTGTTTGGATTTTGAGTGTGATTTATTCGGATTATGTGCAAATGTGCAGGAGCTTACTGTTGTTCATCCCTCTCGCCAACACAAACTATGAACCGGAATCATTTATTCCGGTACAGTAAAATTTAATGATATATAATCAATGTTATAATTACGATTGTGGTATGTGTGTTAAAAAAGAAAAACAATCTCTACAACTGGTAATAATGTCGGATCAATCCAAACTCCGTGTCGGACCGGATTGGGATTAGGTCGGAAACATATAGCCACATTTGCCATCACTATCAACATTATTATTATCACTATCCTCTATCACAGTATGTAAGAATGTGAATTGATTCAAACATTTGGAATGAATTTTATTTTAAACGAATGTTTTCCTTTTAAATATATCTTTTGTAATAGTTTAAATCAAATATCGATTATAGTATTTTAAAAATGTATTTTTAATGAATGTTAAATTGTATTCATCAAAAAGTCTTTATTTACGTATTTCATTGCTTAAAAAGAAAATCAGAACCTACTACAATTATCTTCTACTGAACCAGAATCGAAACATTGCCTCATATTTCCTCTCCTGAGTAGCCACCAACAGACTCATACGATTGCGTATGGTCTTATCAATGTGTTTAATCAGAGCTCCTATAACATTAGGTACTTCTCCATGTTTCTTGAGTTTCACTCTCTCCATATTGAGTAAACACAGACTTGTAGTGCATAGCAAAATACAGAACTTCGTTGTGTAATCCAAACCAGGGTCTAAGACATAGCCGATGATTATGTCCCAAATTGCAGAGTAGGTATTATTCATTAGATTCCCCACAGTGTTCCTCCAGACTTGAGAAGAGTATGTGCAGACAAATAGAAGGTGATCCCTTGATTCAATCATGCTATTACAGAGTCGACATTTTGGATTTACACCTCTGTCCCATTTCACTACTCTGTCCATAGTAGCAAGTCGATCTAATGCCGCCAACCATGTGATGAATGAGAACTTGGGAGCTGCATTCTGGTCTTGTTTGATCATTTGCCATGTCTCTTTCGTAGTGAGCTATTTTTTGAAACCATTCCTTCTTTTCTTAAGGACAGAGTCTTCCACCTCCATCCTTTGATTTTGTCTGAGACTGCTTATAACTTCCTCTATCTCCATAAGCCTGACAGTTCGATGCCTACTGCGACATAACAGATGATTCATTACTTCCTTAACAGTTGCGCTGCGACGAATATCCAAGCCGATAATGCCACGACCACCCAGCAGTTCATATATCGATCCGAACTCCGACCATTGCTCATACTAGAAAGATATGTGTTTTTCCATTACTATTTACTAGTGTCCTTTTTGTAAAATTTCTTTGCTAGAGTTCTCAGCTTGAGTATCTTCGTCCACATCCAAGATACTTTTTGAGTTTTTCTTTAATTTCCCAGAAGTTTTGTTTTCCAGTGAGATAACACTTAGTTCACTTTTCCCACAGCGAGCTGAAAGCATTCTGCATATCAACTTCAATCCATTCACAATGTTGACATCTTTCAAACGTCTTAATCCCAGACCTCCTTCAGTTATCGGCTTACATACATCTGCTCAACTTACTTTCGCGTTTGTTGTTTTTAATTAAGGTCCTGGCCATAAAAAGGCTGATACTAGCTGTTCTATCTCTTTTATGCATTGGCTTGGTAACCTATACGCGGATGACCAGAAGTTAATGATACTCAGTACAAATGTTTTTTAACATCCTAGATATACGATTGATAGAACTAGGGTGGAATAGTACGATCGATAGAAAGCATTATGGAGGTATTTGGCTATTTTGCCAGAGTCTTTATCAGTATGGAGAAGTCAAACAATTTTTTATGCTGGTGTATCAGATGAGGGCAAAAATTTCTATTAAACCATTTTCAGTTTGTTTCGGGTACTCTGCGAGTGTGTTATTTGGGACTTCCGCTGCTATAAAAAACAGATGAGTTAAGCAGGCTAACAGGTGGTCACTGGAAAAATTAAGCAGTGCATCAGTTTATGGACAAACCGGTTTCTTTCGATGGCTGGAAGATTGCAGCTCATTTGAATAGTTCTGATGAGTATTGTTAATTTTTGGATGACTGGTTTCAAGCTGCCTGAACAAGGCATGAATGAGATAAAAAGTTTGTGCTCTGTATTTCTGTGGTCAGGTCCTACTATGAATGTGAAGAAAGCGAAAGTATCTTGGGATGTGGTTTGTATTGTTTTAAGGATTGTATCTGAACTTAATAAAGAACTCTCTTTATTAATCTCTCTTAAGGAAACTAACTCAAAATCTTAAACTCTCAAAACATAATCTATAAAACTCTCAAGTTATGCAACACTCTTGCATCTCCTTATATATAAATCAAAATTTCCTAAACTCATAAGAACTAACTTTCCTAAACCTATCTCGTTTAGGATTAGTATAACTTGTTTTCCAAGTTAATTTCTTGATTATCTCCAACATTTCCCCCTTAATCTTGAAGTTAACCACATCTTAACTCCAACTAGTTCTCTCATCTTTTTGAACTTAGTTCTTCCAAGAGTTTTAGTTAATATGTCAGCCTTTTGATCTACTCCCGAAACATGCTGGATGTTGACTTGTTCATTCTATACACACTCTCTAATGAAGTGATAACGCTTGTGTATGTGCTTACTCCTTCCATGGAACACATGATTCTTTGTGAGTGCTATAACAGACTTGTTGTCAATACATATTCTTCACACGATCGCATGATGTCTCAGTGATTTCTTCGAGTAACTCCTGAAGCCATATTTTTTGTTTGGATGCTTCTGAGCCAGCCATAAACTCAGCCTCACAAGAAGATAATGCCACAGTTTCTTGTTTTTGAGAGCACCACCTGATAGAACGATTAATTAAAAAATATGCACGTCGTACTTCTTCCATCACCTTCATCTGTATTATGACTGCTATCACAGTAACAAACTAACTCCACTTTATTTTCTCGTTTAAACGTTGAACCATGGCCCGTGGTTCCCATCAGATATCTTAATACCTGTTCTAATGCAGTGAAATGAGAAGTCTTCGGTTGATGCATGTATCGACTGAGCAAACCCACACGCAAGATCAGGCCGTGTATGTAGAAAGTACTGAAGACAGCCTATGTTCTTTCTAAAATTTGTTTCATTGACACTGGCTTCTTCTTGTGCTTCTGATAGTACAAGACCATCGTTCATCAGTATGTGCACCACATTGCTCTCCTCCATACCCATCTCTTGAAGTATCCTGATTGCATAACGCTTTTATTTCAGTGTGATCCTGTCTTTGTGCTGCAGTACCTCGATCCCTAAGTAGTACGTTAGAAGTCCGAGGTCGCTCTCTCGAATACTTTTGACATCTTCGCTTTGAGCTCATATATTATGTCAAGATCTGAATCTATTACTAGAAGATCATCAACATATACCGCTACTAGTATAAGATTACCTTGTTGTCGCTAACGATATAAGGATGGTTCCTTCAAGCATTTAGTAAATTTCAGCCTCTCGAGAACGTTGTTTAGCTTTTCATTCCAAGCTCTAGGAGCTTGTCTCAAACCATACAATGCCTTGTTTAATTTGTAAACCTTATTCTCTCTTCCCTCGTTCACAAATCCTTCTGGTTTCTTTACATAAACATTTTCCTTTAGTTCTTCTTGGAGCAAGGTGGTTTTAACGTCCAAGTGGTGTATCTCCCATCCATTTGAGGCTGCAAGTCCGATGATAAATCTTAGAGTCTCAATGCGTGCGACAGGAGCAGACAACTCTTCGATGTCTACACCATGTCTCTTCACATATCCTTTTGCACAAATCTGGATTTGTGTTTGTTTATGCTTCCATTAGAGCTGCCGTTGATTTTAAAGATCCACTTGAGTCATATTGCTTTTGCTCCTTTGGGTAAATCAACCAAATCCCACGTCTTGTTCTTCACTATGCTTTTGATCTCATCTTCACAAGCCTTCTTCCACACTTTATCTTTCACGACTTCTGCATAGTCCCATGGTTCCTCATTTATGAGCAAGCGTCACTCTCCTTCTGCTTCTCCAAGTAATATATATTCACTTAGATAACTTGGGGTTTTGCTTATCCATGTTGATCTTCTTATGTTAATTTTCTCTGCGACGTCTTTGATTGTATCTTCATTGGCTCCATCGATTGTGGTTGTAGTATTATCTTCATGATTCTCCATCTTTTCCTCAGTCTCATTCTCTCTTATACTTTGGTTACCAAAGTTACCAAAGGTAATGTTGAAGTTTCCTGGTTCTCCTTCGTCCTCTGCAGAGAAGTTATTCCACTTCCAGCCCTTGTTTTCATCGAATATAACATCTCTACTCACTACTATCTTCCTGTAGCTGGGATCGAACATTCTGTATGCCTTGGAGCCGAGTTCAGTACCAAGATGCACGAGGGTTTTGGATCTATCATCAAGTTTTCTCAAGTGAGGAGTCTCTGCCTTCGTATAACCGATACATCCAAACATTTTCATGTGTTTAACGTTGGGTTTATTTCCTTTCAAGACTTCGTATGGAGTCTGCAATTCTAGAGTTCTTGACCCGACTCTATTGATGAGATATGTGGCATGTCTTATGGCTTCTCCTTATAAGTAGTTAGGTATTCTCATATGTTTAAGAATGCTTCTAGTCATCTCAAATAAAGTTTTGTTTCTTCTTTCTACTACTCTGTTCTGTTGAGGCGTGTAAGGAGCGGTTAAGTGTCTTTGAGTACCTGATTGCAGAAATTTTGAAACTTTACTGTTGTGAATTCTCATCCTCTATATGTTCGAAGTGTCTTGATATTCTTCTTTGCTTGCTGCTTCACCATCGTTTTAAATTTTTTTGAACTTCTCAAATGCATCACTCTTCTCCTTTAAGAGATTTATCCACATGTATCTTGAATGATCATCTACTAGTACAAATATGTACTTATTCTTTGCTGGTGTTGCTGGAGTGATCGGTCCGCAAAGATCGCCACAAATGAGCTCCAGAGGTTCCTCTACACGAAACAAAGTCGACTGTGGAAACGCTTGTCTAGCTACTTGCCAAGAAAACAAGACTCATATGTTTCTTTCTCGATGCTAATGTTAGGTATGCCAAGTACGAGTTCCTTTCGTATCATGAGTTTCATTGTATCAACTCCAATATGGCCGAGTCTTGTGTGCCATCTTGCAGATTCGTTAGTGATATCTAGCTTCAAACACTTCTCATCCACTATATCAATGAGAACCTTGTAGAGTCGATTTCTTGACCGGTTGTCTCGTGTGCTCAGATTTCCATCTTTATCATGTAGCGTGAGAACATCATCTTTCATATTCACCTCAAATATCGACTCGGTAGCTTTCCCTAGACTG